CTTTTGCCTTGAAACTCACTGGGTGACTTTGAGCAAGTCACACACTTTCAGCCATAGAGGAAATAGAATCAAGAAATAATTTTCTAAGATCTACAGAGATACTTGCAGGAACACCTCAGGAAGCGAGAGTCCAAAAGTGGCAGGCAAAAAAAACGGAACCTCAAGCCATGGCTCCCTCCTGGGCACACAGAAGACTGTGTTCTGGCACCACGAGATGCAGAGACAACCTTAAGAAATGGGGCCACAAAATTGAGTCCATGACATGCACATGTGGAGAAGAGCAAACCACAGACCACCTATTACATTGCAGTCTGAGCCCTGTCATGTGCACAGTGGAGGACCTTCTTATAGCAACACGAGACGCACTCCAAATGGCCAGCTACTGGTCAAAAGGACACTTAATATAACACCAAGTCTTTAAACTTTGTGCGTTTTAAAATACATTACAACTGTACCCTTGGCTTACTTCTGATACAATAAATAAATAGCCATAGAGGAACAACAGCTAATGTGGATTAGTGGTTTAAGTACCAGCTGAGACTTCCTGGAAACCAGATCCCTGCTGAGCCATGGGAATCCACTGTGTATCTTGAGCAAGTCATGCTCTCTCAGGCTCAGAGGTATGCAAAAGCAACTAAGAAAAACCCAGGAGAGGGTTGCCATAACAAAACAACCACATTTATGTAGGATTCTGAATAAATATAGAAAACATTGGTCACTGAAGAACAAAAAACGATAGCTCTCTTCCTGAATGTAGGGGAGACGACAAATGTGTCCATGCTGGATACAAGCCATGACTAACCCATCTGAGCCAATGTGCTTTGATCACAGGAGCCTGCCATAAACAACTACTGAATAGGTCTGGAAAGCCAGCTTCTCTTAATTACGCATACGAATGTTTCAAAAATCCTAGTGGAAAGGAGAATGAAATCTGTAATTATAACAGCTAGTGTGATGTAACAAGCGCTAAAACAAAAGCTAACAACAATTATGAGGTGATAAAAGCAAACAAGATGGGCACGGAGAATAGAATGAACATGTTGCTATAGTCACAGAAAACACAGTGGATTAAGTCCAATTGAGTTACTGCTGAGTGAACAGAGAAAAAAATGGGCCAACAGCTGAAGTCACATTGCTCGTTCACAGGATTGCTAGTTCGCCAGATGGTTGAGAAATTGGAAAGGACATACTTAAAATTTGACTCCACTCCCTCCCCTGCAGTTTGAAGTAGTATATCTCAGGGCTGTAGTTTATAAATGCATAGCAACCCCTACCAAAACTAGTTATCAATGTTCAGAGTGTCCATTCAAGACTCAGCATTTATGTAGATCATGTGTAAAATAAATATGGTAGGAGTCCATCTGTTTATTTAGTCTGAACATGTATAGGAGTACAGTATGTCTCTTTAAGACAATGTGATTTACTACTTCTACATTCTAATTTGGGTTTGTGGATTCTGCAGAATGGGTTGTGGTCCCATATAATTTAAGAAAATTTCTCTTAAACCTGAATGCATGCATTTGAAGGGAGATTTTCTGTTTCCATGACTGAAGTTCTGAAAAGTAATCCCAAGGAGGTGTGCGTTTGTTGGTGGATTTTAAAAATCTCAGTATCTTAATACTAGAATGTTGCATTGTTGTTGTTTTGCTTCTTTAATGACTATTTTGGGTGGTTATGATCCAATACCATCCCAAAGTCATTTGTGAATGCCTTTGGGGTGGTATCGGATCATAACAATTCAAATCAATAATTAAAGCAGCAACTCAGAGTAGTACAGTGGGCCCTGGGTATTGGTTCCAGCTGAGTTACATACAGTAGCGTAGTCAAATGGTATCTCTTATATAGAACTAGCTGTGCCCTGCCACGCGTTGCTGTGGCCTATAGTAAAACTTATCAAAGTTGAGGTAGATATCTGGACTATTATGAAAGAGAGGTACCTACCTATTCCTTTCCCCCTTTTCCTCCCCCTTTCTCTCCTTTCTTCCTTCTCTACCTCTTTCTTTCTTTCGCTCCTTGGTTTCATCCTTCTCTCTTTCCTTCATTCCCTCCCCCTTTCTTCTTTGTCTCCTTTCTTCCCGCCCTGTTTGCTTCCTTCTTTCACTTTTTATTTTTTTATTTTACCACCATCATAACAATAACAATAATGCAATGCATTGCCTCTGGGACCTGACACCTCTCCCATTCCCCAGGGTCTCATAGGAACAATAGCATAATAATAATAATAATAATAATAATAATAATAATAATAATAATAATAATAGAAATAACAACCTTTACCCGCCATGTGTTGCTGTGGCCAATCTTCCCTCTTTCTCTCCTTCTTTCCCTCCTTCTTTCCTTCCTTCCCTCCCATCGTTCCTTCTCCTCTTCTTTCTCTATCTCTTTCCTTCCTTCCCCCTTTTTCTTTCTTTTCTGCTGTCTCTCTTTTCTTTCCTTCCATCTTTCCTTTTCTTTCCTTTTCTTCTTCCTTCTTTCTCTAACTTTCCTTCCTTCCCCCTTTTTCTTTACCTCCCTTTCTCTTTCTTCCTTCTTTCCTTCCTTCCTGTCTTTCCTGGATTTTGACAGGGGGGGAAGGGGCGGGGTGGGGTTTGGAGGTGGCGTGAAGTAAAAGGAGGTAAGATTGGGGTGGGGGAGTGATGGAGCGTGGGGTTGTGTGTGTGTGTGCGGCGGCGGGGGGAGTGGGGTTGCGTGTGTGCGTGCGGCGGCGGGGGGAGTGATGGAGCGTGGGGTTGTGTGTGTGTGTGCGGCGGCGGGGGGAGTGGGGTTGCGTGTGTGCGTGTGGCGGCGGGGGGAGTGATGGAGTGTGGGGTTGCGTGTGTGTGTGCGGCGGCGGGGGAGTGGGGTTGCGTGTGTGCGTGCGGCGGCGGGGGAGTGATGGAGTGGGGTTGCGTGTGTGTGTGCGGCGGCGGGGGAGTGGGGTTGCGTGTGTGTGTGCGGCGGGGGGGGAGTGATGGAGTGTGGGGTTGTGTGTGTATGTGCGGCAGGGGTGTGTGTGTGTGCGGGAAGCGGCGCGGCGGGGCTTGGAGTGGGCATGGTTTCCGCAGAGGGAACGTTGGCCGGAAGGGCATGTGCGCCCGCCAGGGAACTTGCGGCTGGGCGCCAATGCGCATGCTCAGTTGTTTTGCCGTTTTGTGAGTGAGTTGTTGTGTTGTTTTTCATTTTGAGTAGATACGTTTGTACCTTGTGGGTTGTGTTATGGGCATGGGAATTTTGGTTAAGTTTCGTTGGGGTTTTTTTGAGTTTGTTTTTTTGCCGTTTTGAGTGTGTTGTTGTGTTGTTTTTCATTTTGAGTAATATGTTTGTACCTTGTGGGTTGTGTTATGGGCATGGGAATTTTGGTTAAGTTTCGTTGGGGGATTTTTGAGTTTTGTTGTTTTGCCGTTTTGTGAGTGTGTTGTTGTGTTGTTTTTCATTTTGAGTAGATATGTTTGTACCTTGTGGGTTGTGTTATGAGCATGGGAATTTTGGTTAAGTTTCGTTGGGGTTTTTTTGAGTTTTGTTGTTTTGCCGTTTTGTGAGTGTGTTGTTGTGTTGTTTTTCATTTTGAGTAGATATGTTTGTACCTTGTGGGTTGTGTTATGGGCATGGGAATTTTGGTTAAGTTTCGTTGGGGGGTTTTTGAGTTTTGTTTCCTCGTTGGATGCCCCTAACAAATTTATATATATAGATGGCAAAAAAATGAAGTTTTGCTTTTTGGATTTATATATATATATATTCAAGCCATACAGAATCTATGGATATAGAGGGCCAAGTGCATATAAGTCTCAGAAATCACCCTGCACCTCTCAGTGCCCCTTTGAATTATAAGGTTTACAATATAGGAAGTTTACATACTTAAGACATTGTATTGTATTATTTAATATAAACTGTCTTCATAATCCTTTTAGAGCAAAACACAGTATGGGAAACAAGCACAGAAATAAATAAGATTACAATACTTGAGGCAATTCAGTAAAATTCACTTTGTCTGCTATGATTTTCGTATGATTAATGACTTATTCTTTCAACTTATTCATCATTGATTTTGCTTTATTGTCTTTGCACTCATAAGTTGTATGGATTTTACTGTGTTGTTATTGTGTTTTGGTTTTACATTATTGTAATATGCTGTTGGGCTTGTAAGCTACCCCGAGTCCCCATTGGGGAGATGGTGGCGGGGTATTAAATAAAGATTATTATTATTATTATTATTATTATTATTATTATTATTATTATTATTATTGAGCCTGCAACCAGCAAGCTTGGAATGGGGCATACTTAAAAAACATGCTAAGTGGGGGTGCATCTCTACACTATAGGATTAATGCAGTTTGAAACAACTGTCAGGGCTCACTGCTGTGGGACTTTGGGAGCTGTAGTTTGGCGAGGCACCATTTCTTTGTCGCAGAGAGGGCTAAAAAGCTTGTGAAACTACAGCTCCCGGGGTTCCATTGCATTGAGTCATGGCTGTAAAAGTGGGCATTAATTCTACAGTGTAGATCAAGCAAGGGAAACTTGGGTCCTCCAAGTGTTTTGGACTCAAACTCCCACAATTCCTAACAGCCTTGTGGGAGTTGGAGTCCAAAACACCTGGAGGGCCCAAGTTTGCCCATGCCTGGTGTAGATGCAAGTAAAGGTAAATGTTTTCCCCTGACATTAAGTCGAGTCATGTCTGACTCTAAGGTGTGGTGCTCATCTCCATTTCTAAGCCGAAGAGCCAGCGTTGTCCGTAGACACCTCCAAGGTCATGTGGCCGGCATGATGCAGCCTTAGCTCAAATTGCAAGAGCAGTGGGTACTCAATGAATTCAGCAAAGAGAAGGAGGAGGCAGATCCTTTCCCTTCTCCACAAACTCAGGCAAAACTAGAGGGATGCAATATCTCTACGCTTCTGTGTGTTGTTGTTGTGTTCGTTTCATTCACAAGTCAGTTTTGTCCCACTGCCAGAGAAGGCGCTGTGATGCAGCGCGGAAGGCACGGCGTTTCCATTTTTGTCCCAAAGCGCTTTCCATACTTCTTCAGCTCCTGGCGGAGAAGGCGAGTTGGCGCTTGACTTCCGCCCGGCCTTTGCCCAGCCTTCCAAGCCATGCCTTTGCCCAGCTCGGCGGTGGCCTTCCGCAGGATCCTGGCCCATTTCCCCCCGGAGCTCAGCCTGGCCTTCGCCTATGGCTCCGGGGTCTTCCAGCAGGCGGGGGCCTCCTCCGCGGAGACGGGGGTAAGTGCCGGGACAGCAAAGGCTGCTCTCCAAGCAAGCGGCATGGAGTTTTGATGCCTCTGATTGCGCTGATGGGATCCCCTTCAATGCCTTTGGAGTTCTTGGAAATGGAATTCGCTCAACTCTCTCCATATACAATAGACTCTCAGTTAACCGGAACTCTCAAGCAACCGGCAAATGTATATTAGCTAAAAGTTTATTCTTAACTGCCTTCACAAAGCTCTTTTTACGTGAATTTTGACCCACTCCCTCCATATAACAGTAGATTCTCAGTTAACCGGAATTCTCAAGTAACTGGCAAAAAATGTATTGGCGAAAAGTTTATTCCTAGCTGCCTTCACAAAGCTGTTTTTACGTAAATTTTGACCCACTCCCTCCATGTAACAGTAGACTCTCAGTTAACCAGAACTCTCAAATAACTGTCAAAAATGTATTGGCTAAAAATTTATTCCTAGCTGCCTTCACAAGGCTGTTTTTATGTGAATTTTGATCCACTCCCTCCATATACAGCAGGCTCTCAATTAAGCAGAACTCTCAAACAACCCGCAAATGTTTATTGGCTAAAAGTTTATTCCTAATTTGCCTTCCCAAACTATTTTTATGTGAATTTTGATCCATCCCCTCCATATACTCTCAGTTAACCAGAACTCTGAAGCAAAAATGTATTGGCTAAAAGTTTATTCTTAACTGCCATCACAAAGCTGTTTTTACGTGGATTTTGATCCACTCCCTCCATATACACCAGGCTCTCAGATAATGGGAACTCTCAAGTAACTGGCAAAAATGTATTAGCTAAAAGTTTATTCCTAACTTCCTTCACAAAGTAATTTTTGAGTAGTAATAATAATAATAATAAACTTTATTAGTATCCCACCCTGCCTCCTTGATGGTGGCTCAGGGCAACTAACAGCATATAACGGCTATATTCAATGCCGTATAATACTACCAGGCAATAAACATAAATTTAAAATTTAAAAATGACACAGCAAACCTTAACATAAGCAACAGGACATTACCACCGAATTAAACAAACATTCAAGTTTTTAAGTGAATTTTGATCTACTCCTGCCATATCCAGCAGGTTCTCAGTTAACGAGAACTCCCAAGTAATTAGCAAAAATGTATTGGCTAAAAGTTTATTCCTAATTGCCTTCACAAAGCTGTTTTTAGGGGATTTTTTATTCACTCCTTCCATATACAGCAGGCTCTCAGTTAATCAGAACTCTCAAGCAACTGGAAAAAGTTTATTGGCTGAAAGTTTATTCCTAACTACCTCCACAAAGCTGTTTTTAATACCAATAATAATAATAATAATAATAATAATAATAATAATAATAATGAACTTTATACAGTAGACTCTCAGTTAACTGGAACTCTCAAGCAACCAACAAAAGTTTATCCACTGGTGTTTTATTAAAATTGCATATTGAGTCTACATTGACCATATAATGCAGTTTCAAACTGCATTATATAGCAATATTGATGGAGTCTCACAAGAGTTAGACAGTGGGACATATGATCATCATAATTAATGTCTTCTGTGATGAAATAATGTTGGTTTCAGCCCATTGTGTTTGTCTACACAGATATATATGTGTTGCGATAGTTTATACCTATATATACTGTATGTTTACAATTATTTGCCTTTGGGGCCGTGGGTTTATCATGTGATATAATATTTGCAGATAAAGTTAGAACTGTATTTCCTAAATTTCAGCATATTTCATTATCTTTTCTACTGTAGAACAACATGCTGGACTTTGTATTTGCTGTCGATGATTCTCTTACATGGCACACAACAAACCTGTCCAAGAACCGGAGTCATTATTCCTTCCTAAAATATTTTGGGCCAAAACCAATCGCTAACATCCAGAATTATGGAGCAGGGATTTACTACAATACACTAGTGCCTTGTAATGGCAGGGTAAGTGAGCAATACAAACCACATATTTCAGAACAGTATAACTGTCTCAAAAAGGAGACAGTGCCAAATATATTTTTAGGTGAACAGAAAGCTATTTTTGTTCTGCTAAGCTTTTGAGCGCCAGTAAAGTGTCGTAGTTTGAGCATTGAAATAAGAATCTGGAGACCAGAAGTTGAATCTCTTCTTGGCCATGAAAACCCACCGGATGAGAAAGTCACACTCTCTCAGCCTCAGAGGAAAGCAAGGGCAAACTTCTGAAAACTTTATGATGGTTTCACATAACTTTATGATGGTTCCATAAATTGGAAATAGCTTGAAGGTACATCTTGTGCTGAAATGGCTTTAGGAGATAATATTTTTAATGGAAACATGCATTTATTCAACTTTAAATTTCAGCAATTTATACTGATGGAAGGTATTTTGAATACAAAAATATGTTTATGACCTTTCTCCATCAACATTTGAAAGAGACAGAAGCCTTAGTAGATTGCAAGATGAATGAGAGTTAACAGTGTGATGCAACAGCTGAAAAAGCCAATCTGATTCTAGGCTGCAGTGTAGTGTCTAGATCGAGGGAAGCCATAATCCCATTATATTCTTCTTGGTCAGCCTCACCCAGAATAACACTGTCCAGTATCCAGAACACCTGAGACAGCCATTTGCACTTGAATGAAGAGACATAATGGGAGCCCAGAAGAAAGATACTGGTTCCTAATAAAAGTTTGGATAGCCTTGAGACCTTTCTCGTGCTTGGAGAACTATTATTCTAAAAGTAAAGGAAAAGTAAAGTCATCAGAATGATGCCACCTTGCCTTCCCAACTTTAGTTTTGACAAATGGAAACAAGCAATTCAGCTCTTCTTTTTCCCATGTTTCAGGTTATCAAATATGGTGTCATTCGCACAGATGCCCTAATTGATGATTTGCTTCACTGGAAGACTCTGTATGTAGCTGGACGCCTACAAAAACCGGTATTTTTTTCAGCTTCTTTGTCTGTTTAAAATAATAAAAAAACAATAGCATCAGAATGCCTCCTGTAGAAAACGGTAAGGAAAGTGGGTGAGAATGCTACCACTGCATTTGATGTAAGAGCTAAACAACAGGTCGCATTATTTGTAATTTTTGTAAGCAGTTAGATTGCACTGGAGCAGAAAGCTCCAAATCCCCCTCTCCTAGTGGCTAATTCCTCATGAAGGTGATGTTTGTGGTAAACAGCACCTTCACCTGCTTTTACTAAACATATCATAGCTCCATTTTATGTTTGAAGTTTAATTTTATATATTCTTTCAAGGAGTTCGGGGTAATGTATGGAGAATTAGGCTGCATGATTTCCAAAAAGTATTCAATGAATTGTACGGCTACAAGGAGAACTCAGTCTATTTATTCCCCTTCCAAATCTTGCAGACTTTTTCTACTGCCCATTCTGGGGATTCTTTGGCGCCATTAAAAATAATCAGGACTGAGGTTTAAGATTGCCATCCATCCCCCTGGTGGCACAGCGGATTAAACTGCTGAGCTGTTGAACTTGCTGACCAAAAGGTTGGTGGTTCAAATTCGTGGAGCCGGGTGAGGTCCTGCTGTTAGCCCCAGCTTCTGCCAGTCTATGAGTTTGAAAACATGCAAGTGTGAGTAGATCAATAAGTACTGCCTTGGCAGGAAGGTAACGGCACTCCATGTAGTCATGCTGGCCACATGATCTTGAAGATGTCTACGGACAATGCCGGCTCTTCGACTTAGAAATGGAGATGAGCACCACCACCCAGAGTCGGACACGACTGGACTCAGGCATGTAGCCCGGGGGGGGGGGGGGGGGGGGGGGGGGGCGGGGGCTTGAGGGCTTCAGCCGCCCCCCCCCCCGAAATTCTCATGGTGGTTCGAAAAGGCCTTACTGGTGCATTATTTAAACTGTTATGTTTATTCATATCATGATCTGATCACCATACTCAATATATCCCATATGCATGGGGGTATTGGGGTAATGATACAAAAGGTTGGCTAGGGTAGACCCTCTTTCACTCAGACTCAGCCCCCCCCAAACTCAGCCCCCCCGAAACCCCCCCTGAAAAAAATTCAGCCCCCCCCCCCCGAAATGAAATCCTGGCTACGGGCCTGACTGGACTTAAAGTCAGGGGAAACCTTTACCTTTACCATGTGTTTATATGCTTCAGTAAAAGTTACGGTGACATGAAGTGTTTGGACTGACCACCAGAGGGAAGCAGAGTTGAGCCAAGTGGAGAAAGAGAAAAAGTGCAATAAAAAAGAACCATTGTTGATACGCTGGGGGTGAAACAAGTTTTGATGTTCGTAAGGGAGTATATTTTGGGCAACTTGGCATTGTGTTTGTCTTTTTGTGTATCTTGTATAACATTGGTTGTATTTAAACAATTAGTAGGAGTTGGTTACTTGCAACACAAAATGACCTATAGCATTTTATGTTTCTAGGTAAGGGGTGACTGCCAAAATTTTAGAAGACCTCATTAGGGCACCTCATGAGAACTTTTGGGGGGATGCCAGCCCACTACTATGCATCTCCAGCAAAGCAGTATTTAGCTTTAATGAAAAGTGCCCCCATTAATCCCAGTGGAATTTTAGAATCATGCCTTTTTTGGCTCAGGAGAGGTCAAAACACAGTAAACCTATGCCCCAAGCCCCAGAGGCTGTGGGGAAATTTTAAATAGAAAAGCAAGCTTCTTTTTTTCAAATGACAGGTGCACAAATCCATTGTCACACTGCTCAATCGTCACAAGAGTCTACCTGGGCAAACTTGGGCTCGCGAGGTGTTTTGGACTTCAACTCCCATCATTCCTAACAGCCTCTGACCCTTTCCTCTTCCCCCTCAGCTGCTTAAGTTGTAGTCCAAAACACCTGGAGGGCCCAAATTTGTCCATGCCTGCTCTACCACCTCACTGTACCAATGGAGAGGAGTCATGGGCTGGAAAATACCCTTTTCAAATATTTCAGACTTTCCACACAACTGGAAATTTTAATACAGCCTGTTTTTTAAAAAATTGTATTTAATACTGTTTTTAACTGTAGTTTTAGTAGCATGGACACTTCAGTGTTTATCTTCTGTAGTAGTCTATTTTTAGCTAAACTGTTATTTTTAGTAGTCTAAGTAGCCTTGGTTTCCTTGGCAGTGTTACTGTTTGGGGAGAAATTAAAGGTACAGTTCTCTAAACTAGTTAACTCTTCACTAACTAGAGAACTGTTCTTTAGCTCATTTTGCTCATAATGTTCATTATGTCACTTTACATACGCCTCTCCCCATTTGTTTTTGGAGATGCAGCAACCTACAGTATCAAGCCAAATGTTCATTTCCCTTTCTGTGAACATTTCTGAGTTTGGGATATTCATGCTACAGTGCTAATAGGAGCCACGTAGTTCAGATGAGGACATCTCCAGTAGGGCACAAGTGGCTATTGAGAATTGTGAACTCTTTTCTTCTTCCCAGGCCTGTCTGGCTGGGTCTCAAGTGTTTGCTGGCTTCTTGCTTTCGGGGGACATTTTAGCCAAGTTCTCATCTAATGTGGTGGTGAAGAATAGGGGAGTACTGTTTTTTCATCCCAGCTCTGACCTAAGTAAATGTTATGTTGTTTTATAGTCCGCTTGGGGAGATAGGGAGGGGTACACATAAAGTATTATTATTATTTGAAACACAACAAGATTAGTACATGGCAAAGAAGATCACTATGTTGGCTGTTGTATTGGATCATATGTCAGATACCTTCCCAAGTCTCTAGGACTGTGTGATGTATCGGTGAATAATGTGTGCAGACACCAGTAGAGTGGCCCTTTGCAGCTGACAGATGGTAATTTTGTCAGCGCCGATTGTGTTTAAGTGCAGGCCAAGGTCTTTAGACACTGCACCCAGTGTGCCTATTACCACTGGGACCACCTTTACTGGCTTGGGCCAGAGTCTTTGCAGTTTGATCTTTAAATCCTCATATCGCATCAGCTTTTCCAGTTGTTTTTCTTCAATCCTGCTGTCGCCTGGGATTGCAACATTGACAAGCCATACTTTGCTTTTTAACACGACCGTGAGATCAGGAGTATTGTGCTCCAAAACTCTGTCATCCTGGAAGTCTCAGAGTAGATGGATGTGTTCATTTTCTATAACTTTTTCAGGCTTGTGATCCCACCAATTCTTTGTCACAGGCAGATGGTATTTTGGGCACAAGTTCCAATGAATCATCTGAGCAACAGTATTATGCCTCTGCTTGTAGTCAGTCTGTGTGATCTTCTTGCAGCAGCTGAGGATGTGATGTATCATTTCGTCTGCTTTCTTGCAGAGTCTACATTTGGGATCCATTGTCGACTTTTCAATTCTGGCTTTCATGGCATTTGTTCTTGGGCTGCAAGAATCGGGTCCTTGGTATTATTATTATTATTATTATTATTATTATTATTATATTTAAAATATGCACATACCAGCTTGGAATCATGTGAAGTTGCATGATTGCAAGGAAGGAAGGAATGTGTGATGCCCCTAGAAAATCAGAGGCCTATTAAAACCCACCACTCAGGATGGGTGCCCTGATGACTCGGCAGCTCGCTGCAAAGCCTTTGCTCGGTTCTTCGCAGACAAAGTCGCTTTGATCCGCTCTGGACTGGATACCATATTAACGGCAGTATCTGAGGATGTAACACGAGCACCTGCTTGTCCGGTTTTGATGGATTCATTTCAATTGGTTCAATCCGAGGATGTGGACAAGGTGCTTGGAGGAATGAGAGCTACCACATGCATCCTAGACCCCTGCCCATCCTGGCTTCTAAAGGAGGCCAGAGGGGGATTGGCCGAGTGGGTGAAGGTGGTGGTTAATGCCTCCCTGCGGGAAGGCAAAATTCCAGCCAGCTTAAAACAAGCTGTATAAAACCGCTGTTGAAAAAACCATCACTGGACCCCACTCAATTCGTCAACTATCGGCCTGTTTCCAATCTCCCCTTTTTGGGCAAAGTCATGGAACGTGTGGTGGCCTCACAACTCCAGGCATTCTTTGTAGACACGGATTATCTGGATCCGGCACAGTCTGGCTTTAGGCCGGGGCATGGTACCGAGACAGCTTTGGTCGCCTTAGTGGATGATCTGCGTCGGGAGCTCGACAGGGGGAGTGTGTCCCTGTTGGTGCTGCTCGACCTCTCAGCGGCCTTCAATACCGTCGACCACGGTATCCTTCTGGGACGCCTCGCGGGGATGGGTCTTGGAGGTACTGTTCTGCAGTGGCTCCGCTCATTCCTCGAGGGTCGGTCTCAGAAGGTGTTACTGGGAGACTCCTGTTCAACCCCACAACCTTTGTCTTGTGGGGTTCCTCAGGGGTCAATACTGTCTCCCATGTTGTTTAACATCTACATGAAGCCGCTGGGCGAGATCATCCGGAGTTTCGGAGTGCGATGTCATCTGTACGCAGATGATGTCCAACTCTGTCACTCCTTTCCACCTGCTACTAAGGAGGCTGTCGAGGTCCTGAACCGGTGCTTGGCCGCTGTGACGGTCTGGATGAGGGCGAACAAATTGAAATTGAATCCAGACAAGACAGAGGTACTCCTGGTTAGTCGCAAGGCCGAACAGGGTATAGGGTTACAGCCTGTGTTAGACGGGGTCGCACTCCCCCTGAAGACGCAGGTTCGCAGTTTGGGTGTGATCCTGGACTCATCGCTGAGCCTGGAACCCCAGGTTTCGGCGGTGACCAGGGGAGCATTTGCACAGCTAAAGCTTGTGCGCCAGCTGCGCCCGTACCTTGGGAAGTCTGACTTGGCCACGGTAGTCCACGCTCTGGTTACATCCCGTCTAGACTACTGCAACGCTCTCTACGTGGGGTTGCCTTTGAAGACAGCTCGGAAGCTCCAATTAGTCCAACGGGCGGCAGCCATGATACTAACAGGAGCGGGGCGCAGGGAGCATACAACTCCTCTGCTGCACCAGCTCCACTGGCTGCCGATATGCTACCGGGCTCAATTCAAAGTGCTGGCGTTG